AGGTTTTAACAGATGTTTTTCTAATTCGATGTGAAGCATTTGGAACAACGCGAGGATGGGCCCTTTTGACTTTCTATGTTTTCCGTCCTAATCCAAAATGTGCGCGTATCGTGCATGGCAACCGCTTAGATTATTTTCAAATTTGATGTGAAGCATTGGGGTCATGCGATGCCGGACCCTATCGATATTCAGCGTTCTTCGATATTTCATTCCAGAGTTACCCCCACCCCTTTGCCGTAAACCTTATGAACGTACTAGAGGCTATAGTTTTTTTTTTTAACGAATTCTTTCTAATTTGGTGGAAATCATTGGTGTCGTTTTTTGATCGAGTTGGACGGCTTGGTTAAAACTCGGAAATATAAGGCCTAATTTACTGGAACGAAATAAAATTTATTCTATGTGTTTGATAAGACAAGCTCGATCAAAAAGACGCATTTGTAGATTGTTTACTGTATTGTTAAGAGCATCAGAATATAAGATGCATTATACCAAAGAAACTGTTCAATAACTTCAAATTGATGACAGGTTGGAAATATGACTTAAATATTTATGTCCGTTTATATTGCTGCCAGGGGACGCAGTTTACAATGAATGATTTGGTTTACACGAGACCCAAACAAAAATGATTTTCGTGGTGTTGAACCTTGTGCCGTTAGTGTCGAATTAAAAGTATTTAGACATGTTGAAATTTTAGTGTCTACCCTAATGAAAAAAAACTCAATGTTAAAGGTGCATTATGTAAGATTTAGATAAAGAGTTGCCAGTTGTCTATATACTAGTTAAAATAATGGAAAGGGAATATGTTGAAAATTTCAGTCAAATTACTTCATTCTGAGCAGAGTTATCGTCGTTGGAAGAACAGTGTAGTCTAGATTGTCATTGCTACCATTGTTACGATAATAAACAATCTTGATTCCCCATTTTTTAATTAAATCATATTAACAGCCAATTGTATTTAAATCTGTTGAAAATCATCCGAGGTTCTATAGGCTTGGCATTTAAAGAAATGTCTAATTAATGATTTATATAACGATTTAGACAAAACGAGAGAGCTGCATTAGGCAGATTTAGCTCCATACTCCTTGCAGTGTTGCGTTTGATTAGACCTAATCACACTTAACACTGCTGTAATGGAAGCAAATTTGTATTCCAAATTATGACTGGTCAATAGTCCGATTAACAACCAATAGCTAACTGCGTAACAATATCATTACGCTTTAAACAGAGCTCCAAATTGGACCAAATATGTTTACATAACGTTACGTCATGACTTACGATTTTATTACGCCCAATTAACCAGTTTATAGCAGGATATGTTGCAGCAAAACCGATAATTGCGTGAAAAACGAGGCTATCAAAACCGATACACCGTAAACAATACTGTTTAGAGATGAACAATACTTTCACCGTTTACAATACCTAAAATCACTGTCCAAAGTTCAGGGAAGACCCCAGGTTAAACGAAGGGCTGTCATGAACCTGTATTTGAGATAGATTTGATTGAACGGGACGAATAGACACACTCCGTTAAAAGCTCAAGTATCCGAAGCCAATCCAGCAATGGCCAGAGAGGGATTCCTCGAGCCATTGCTTCAGGAATATGATTCAGCTCTTGAATAATGAATCTTTAATACAAATACACGTAGAATAGTTATCTTTAAAAATTAGTGGTAAAATTTAAGAGATAATGAAAATTGGACATAAGAAGGAGAACATGTTAAAATTGTTAAATCCTTTAATTATCTGGGTATATGCAGTCTCATCCAAAAGACAATTGCACGGCAAGCTCTCTAAGGCATATATTTTTTTTACGTAGAATACTCAAAGGAAATAATTTTAACTTATAAATGAAACACACACCATCTTGTGAACCTACCCATTGAAATCACCAGTAATGGACGAAACTGACTACAGTCATCAAGTACCTGCAACTGAAAGGACTAACCCCAATACAGATACAAGCCGACATTGTCTCCACATCTCGAGTTGCCAGCCCCCCCCCCAAAAAAAAAAGCCAAGTCGGTTCCTTATGCTGGAAAAGTTGGGATTCCATCAAGGGTATTCTGCTGAATGGCTATCTTATCAGACTATCAATGGACGACATTATGCTGACCTAGTGAGACAGTTGCGTGAAGCTATCAAAGGTAAGCGACAGGGAATTCTCACTAAAGCCACCCTGTTCCACTAAGACAGTGCTCCTGTTCATAAATCAGTGATTGCCATGTCGTCAGCGATCGATGATTATGACAACCCACCTTACTTACCCGAATTGTCCCCGTCAGACTTCCACCGGTTTCCCAAAATGAAAACAGGACTAGTAATGATGACGTCATGTCAGCTGTGAACGACTTTTTTTTTAGGGTGGCTGAGGAAAATTTCTTCCGTGTCGGCATCCAGGCCTTGCAACATCGTTGGCAAAAGTGTGTACACTTCGAAGAAAAATAAATGGAAACCATCGACTTTGTACAGGTCTTGGAACTTTTCGCCTAGCTCTCGTAAATTATAACAGTTAAAGATGCATTATGTAAGTCTTTATGCAGGTCTTTATTTTGGCTTCAAATGTTATTTAAACTATTATTTAGACATTTATTCACATAACAAGCCTTTAATCAACTCTAAGACCATTGGATGGCAGAGATTTAAACGGTTTGAAACACGGTTGCCATTTAACTACCATTGTTACGATAATAAACAATATATGTCACATCTTGTCATAACTTCAAACAGCGATAACTTTCCTCGGTATAAAGTAATTTGAATGATATTTCAATATATTCATTTTGCATTATCTATTTTTTAACTGTTATAGCAAGAACGCTCAACTCTATATCTAAATCTTACATAATTCATCTGTAAGTGTGTAGTTATCTTTCTGAAGTGTATTTTCTCATTTCAAATATATAGAAGATAGCCACACAAAGCATGGATAAGCATGGACATACGCCAACACAGCATCTATGTATCGACAGAAGCTTATACGAAAGGAAAACTTAGATGTTGACCTAATTTAATACGGATGTCTGCCTTAAAGAAATCTGACCTCTACCCTGTTTAAAGCTTGAAAAAATCTCATACAAATTGTTGTAAATTTTAAACCCGAACTATCAATAGGGTTCGTCCTCCCCTGACGCAAATTCCTCACTCCAAACTTGTTACAAATCAGTTAAAAATTGTAACCGCTATCGCGTTTACAAGGTTTTTAGCAAGGGGGGGGGGGGGCTCCCATGACCCACACCAAACTTTTTAAAAATCAGTTTAAAATTGTAATCTTTATCGCGTTTACAAGGTTTTCAGTAAATGAGGGCTAAATCTGGAACGGAGAGGCGCAGATAGCTGAATATTAATAATATGATATAAGCCCGTAGGGCTAGAAGGGTGTGACCAGTGTTTTGACGGTTTGAAAGCTATATTAAAGTGAATTGGCAACATATAAGCAGCATGCATCCTGCTTTTAAATGCATTTACTTCAGTTCAGTGGTAGGTTTGCGGTAATTCGGGGAAGCAGGGCATTTTTTAGGGAAACGGGAGGGCGGGGTCTATACGGTGGTGGTCTTTTGCGGGGTTCGAAAATATTTTCATTTCAACGTATCTTAGAATTGTATGTCTTGTAAGTTATAAGTGTGTTGTTTACCTAAATATGCAACTTCCGCTCAAATAGGGAGCCGCTAGCAAGGGGTAACTGGTTCGCTCCCAGTGTTGGTGGCTTTATTAGTGAGTATAACTAACCTGATTGTCCCGTGTGCGGTCCCTGCGTTGGCCAAGAAAGTTCATGAGGATTTTCCGACGTGGTTCCCCCTTGTCCGTGGTGTAGGGCGGGGGGGGGGGAATGGACCACGTATAGTCGTTCTGATGGTACAAAAAAAGAGGTTCCGAGTACACATTGGAATTTGAGGTAAAATTTCCCTCATAGCACACTGCATGGCATGCCCGTCTTCATAAGCCCAGTCGGTACAGAATAGGTTAAGATCCATTTCATTCCTCTTTAAATAGTATCAAAAGCTCATTATTTTCGCTTGACAATATCAACCGTATTGTGCCACTAGTTGCTATACTAAAACATTGCCCTACCGGGAAGAGTCGACACAATTCCCCCAACCCCGCGAACTAGTACTGATCTATATTACGCTAGTAGGGACCTATATGCTACCCTTTACTTTGTTGAGTAAGCACTGTGTCACGATTGCGCACTGATAAATGGTCGTCTGCACCCATAGCAATACGCTGTTTGTCCTTTTCATGCACCTTGCTGTTTCTAGAATTTGCTTTTCCTAAAAAAAATAACATAGATACCGCAACAGACCTAATTCCTGGACACACAACAGTATTCCACTCCTATGGTCTGATATGTTTGGAGGTGTAATCAACATGTTCTTACTATTTACATGATTGCATTTAAGTGCACTCTGCTATACCGTTTAGGGTGCAAGACCTGAAATTCAGTTAATAGCATTGGGTGCTCATAATCAATCTATTTATAACTATCGACAGCTGAGTGACCCTGTACTATTTGTTAAACACAAACAATTAAGCTTTGTATTAACGTGCATGGCAGATAAAAATATGCACCCATACTTGTAATGCAGAGATTAATATTATGCCTGTAAATAAACATATTAATATCGAACTTTATGACCCATTCGTCGTATAAAATATAGTTGTTATGCTCAAGCCGATAAATTGCACCGGTGAATCAGCTGATCGAATGCCGGGGCTCCGGTCATTACTGGCTGCACAACGCTTCTTATTGTGCAAACAAAGAAGAAACTTTGCAGTCGCACATTAACTGCAACTATAACATCTAGTATGCACAGTAACGGTTGCAAAATTACAAATCATGACGTATAATCTGTCAACTTGGAGCAAAGAAAGTATTTTTATTTTTCAGCCATGCAGACAGCAGAAAACTAAATAGGCCAATATATAATGGGTGTGCGAAGCGTCATAGTATTCAGCCAATCAGAAAGCAAGATTCAGCTGTAGTCGGTACGTATAAAGAGTTGGTTTGCGGCCGATCAGCTGTTCTAGTGGAAGGGACTACACGATTGTAACAGTGATTATACGAAGCTGTCAGTGGCTGAAAGGACGAATGCCACTATAATATATCGTCAAAATTACACCCCAGTCTCTTTCGAGACCTTGACAACATAAGGTGAGAAATGTAGACTAATCTTTGTGCCGTATAAAATGTGGTTTGACTATTCATCATTGTGTTCTGAGTTAGAAAATAATATAATGATGTATAATGAATATATGGTAACCCCAGTTAACGCGGGACATTTTTGCAGTTATATCCCTGGATATTCTTATTATTTTAGGAGCGTCAGTTCAAATTTTTCCTAAGGTAATGTAGATTTTCTTTTTTTCCTTTTGCCCTTGAAATTTTTTGTGTTTTGGGGCTTTCTTCTGACAAAGGATCCGGGGATGACGACATTTTCCCAGAATGCACATCTCTTCTAATGAATTATTCATGTTTAGTGGGTACCACAGAAAGAATAAAAATAGACGTTAATCATCGGAATATATATCAAACTTCGAATATCAGATATTACGGACTATCTAATTAATATCACCATTACACTTCAAACACTGTTTCATAAAGTATTTTATCACGTGGCCATTACATCACTTTGGAAAATCAGCTGATATCAGCTGCTATTTTTAGTTGTAGAAGAACGATGCACGTCATAATATTGTTGTATGGATACAATTATTTCTAAAAAAAAACCATCTATAATACGGTACCTTTCCTTCCTGGTATTCATATAGATCAGAAATAAAGGTTACGTCATAACAACGATATTGACGCTAAATGAAATGAAATGGGGTTTAACGTCTGCTGCACCAACACGGCTAATGAACCCGAACACATAATCTATTAATGAAGAGAAGAATTGGGATTATCGTCATTGGAATCTTCTGTTACATGGTTGATACGACAGTTGGAATTACAACAAATATTAGATTTAACTATACGGTACTAATATTTCAATTTCACCTACAATATTACACTAAATGGATCACATCAGGATATCAGAAATCAGTTAAATGTCTTTCATATTCTATCATGAGATATATTATCTAAGGTGACAACGTGTACAGTCACGGATTGTCGTCTTGAGTTCAAAGTTCTCCAGAATGTTGGAAAATCAGCCCGTTAAGCGGGACCGTAGTAAGGCTGGGGCGAGGGGTAGTAGCTTTTCTTGTTCAATCATGGAGAGGGGTGGTGGAAACGGTAACTATTTTTACATTCTATCTATGTGACGATTAACACGACGCATTAGATAATTGAGTGTGAGGACAAGTAGGTCTCTAGATCTATTTTTATCTGATTAAAATGTGAATGACCCTAATATATATACATTGCGGTCATCTTAATCTTCATTGTTAAAGCAAAGACTTAGGCCGGAATTCAATTAATTAAATTTGAATTACAGTCTAATATACGGGTCCATGGTTCCAATGTATGCTATTTGTAGGTATTGCTCGGTCAATTGTGTCACCCTATTAGTAAGTGCAGGAGGGCCGCACCACACGCAAAACAAAAATCTACAAGGTAAACCTGCGGACAAGACAGAATATAGACATTGCAAAAAATAAACAAATATCAAATCAAGTGAATGGATCCGGGGGGGGGGGGGCAGCCGTAAGCGTCCACTGCGCTGTACAGTTCCAGGCTTCATTCAAAATGAAAAAAAACCCGGTGATTTACAAAAAAGAAGTAAAACACATAAAAAATATCAGTCATTATTTTTCTGATATTTTACACCGAGCTCACATGAGCGCATACAGATTCTCCTGTTGCATCTTGCAGACGTAATCGTGTTGACATGTTGACCCCCTTCATTCGTTCTGTTAGGTATTATTATCGGGTCAACGTATTACAGATCTATAGTCTTATTAGCCATCTGTCGCGGACAAATAGGGTAAATCATAAATACATTCACAAAATATCACAGTATGTTGACCCCTCCAGCCTTCTACGTTTTCGTATTTAATCAAATCTGAACTATAATTTTTTTTTTATTTCATCTACACTCACAAAGTACTCTAGTGGGTTGATCCGTAAAACGTTCTACATTTTCAAATAAAATAAAGAGGCCTGCACTAAAACGTTTTCCAACTTTATAAATATTGTGTAACATATAACCGGTTAACCAAATGAATATTGTGTTTTTTTAATTATTTAGTGTTCATTGCATGCACTATTTCATAAATCTCTTTGGAAAAAATAATCCCCGAAAATGTCACGGCTCAAAAGAGAACGCATTTTCGATCCTACAAAAAACCAACAGTGCATATCACCCAGTTGAGCTATAATAAGATCAACAGCCTTCACATTGAGTTCTTCAAATAAGAGTTTTAGGTCAAGGTCATGATAAACAGCCGACAACAGTTGAAAAACATCAATACGTACTGTCCTTATTCATTTGTTATCTTTCAACACATCAGTGTTACTTCGTTTGTTTTAAACTAACTGCTCGGAGTTTCATTGATGCAGTGTCTAATTATGGTTAAATTTTGACGAATCAAAATCCTGACTTAGTTGTTAATAAATATATTCATCAAATATGGCCTGATATATACAAGAAGGAAATGAAATGAAATGGGGTTTAAACATCCTACTTTTATACACTATTCGATCTAATGAATTCGGCCGTACACTATGTAGTGTGCTATCTGGGCAATAGTGCACTCGGCTCCGTTTCGTTGAATTCCGAATGTCAAGTGCTCTTATACGCCCATGCCAATTTCTATCCCGAGGCACATGGGATCTCCTGAATAGTGAACTAGCGACGGGAAGGAAGGAGTACAATACATGAATATTTCCTTTGAAGAAGTATTGATATACTTACATTAGTTGGAAAATAGCCAATGCCGCCTTTCCCCCAGGTCATAAAATGATTACAGATCTAGGGATTTCGTTGGTTAATTTGTATTCTTATCAGACATGGTTGGGCAGGGTGGGGGCGGCGAAATCATTGCATTCAAGCCGAAGGTCCAGAACCAATCGATCACAGTGGTTCTCAAATAGCAGCGAGTACTGGGGTGTTACACTCACGTCATGACATAGAATGTGTAATTCAGTGAGTAAGGCGCTGGCTAATTAACCAAGGGATCCTAGGCTTCATCCTCTTGTTGGTTGAGAAAATCATCGGGGTTTTATTTTAACGAATACACGGTGTTTTAAGGTTATGCGACACAGAAAACTATTGGTTTTCAACGATTTCCGATATTTATTGTCCGTGATGCTCTAGAGGTCAGTGTTATCCGATAAACGTGAAATCTATACACATAATAGGTTAAGGTCCTGGGAGGAAGATGTCTTGATTTTAAATTCACCAAGTCTTCGATGGCATCTGTACTTTCGCGCGTTGCCAGAAATTGAAATCAAATTCATAACATACTTTGGTGGAAGATTTTAGCCAGGGATCCAGACAACATGCGAAATAAAATAAACAATCAACCACATATTGTATCATGGTCGACAGACAAGATATTGGTACATGTAGCTATAGTTGAGAAATATGTTTCCATATATCCAGGTAATTTCCAAAAACACTAAGAGAACAATGTTGTTTTTACTTGTTCAGCCACATATTAAAAAGTCAGTATATACATTTCATTGTAACCAGTGATAATTTTCATGTCATTAGTTTGTCATAATACCAACCAAGAAAACAGGTGCTGGTTGCAAACATTATCTAGACATACACACTCAACAGAAATTACTGTCTTACAGCCTACTGAAGATTGTCAGAGAAATGAAATGGGGTTTAACGTCCTATTGTTCTAGTCCGACTGGGCTAATTAAGACGGGATCGACAGAGAATATTAATGGTCTTTCAACGATTATGTTAGATGAATAAACGTTTGTTGTTGTCTAAGTTTTAAAACAGTCGTCCTTTCTAAAATATTTGAGCCCCTTGGGAGAAAATTTATAAAACGTACTAGACCTTATTTATTGAAAAACACGAATAGTAAGAAAGACTATTATGACTCAGATTGCCAATTAACCCACATTATATAATTACTTAGTTGACTATTACATTGTGTTTAGCGCTTTGCCGTCTCTTGGTGCGTACATTATTTAAGGTCTTGCTCGTCTAGTCCGTTAAAACTTTAGCAGAGGAAAATATATCTTTAATATTTTTATATTATAATGTAATCTCTTTTTTAATGTTTCAATGATGCCCGAATTTTTAACTCATAGCCTTGTATTGCAGCTGTTTTCAATTGTTCTAATAGTTTGACTTCTCTGCACTATATAATATCGGTTAAATACTAATATTTTGCTCCGGTCCAATGGTCATATCTGATTTGTTTACATTAATTATCATTACCTTGGTAACACTGTGTAAGTGTATGCATGATTAAAATCGAACAGTGTGGTTTGAAAAAAAGGAATAATATAGCTAGCTTAATTAATTAAAATAGGTCATGTAATTATTTTGTACTTGAACATCACTATTGGCTAGTTATTTTAAAATAATTATTGCTCTTTAATCAATTATTCTTTATAGTATAAACGGAATTCTCGTTTTCCATATTGTGTAGTGCAATTCGGCTATGTTTAGCTACTCACAGAGCGATACTACATAATCTAGGTTTGGGTTTTATACGAGAGTAAGAACTAACATCGCATTAGGCTTGTATCCAGGTCACTTGTAATATACGGTAAATACCCTCTTCAGCCGTAGCGTAAAAAGTAGGTTAGTTAGTTTACCAATAGAAAGCAAAGGAGGCCTTGTTATTTATGCGTAATGTATTTCATTGCAAATCGGAAAATTTCCACAGTAGAATGATGAAAGTATACTTAGATTCATTTTGTGCACCTATTGCTTCTTGATATCATTAAGCTAACCATTGCAGAACAAATTTCTATCTACGCAGTTATTTTTATAGCAGCGATATATACACATGTAATATATAAATGTATGTCTCGTCATTTTCAGTAAAGAAAATATTTATTTTTCTATAATTATAATCAATAAAAAGAGGATGCAGGCTTGTTGGCATTTACATTATTGCTCATTTTTATATGCCCACATAGAAATGTGGTCGAATATTGTCGTCACTCGCGTCCGCCGTCCACAGTTGCTTGTCGAAGCTCTAGAGGCTAAAAGTAACATCCGATTGACTTTAAATTTATATACAGTGTTTACGGCCATGGGACGGAGGCGCCCGTTAATTTTCAACGATTCGCTATAATTACTGCCAGGGTTATGGTCCCTGTGGACGCTCTCGAGGCCAAAGGTATCCATTTGACTTGATATTAATACACAGTCTTTAAGGTCATGAGAAGAAGAACCCTATTGCTATCCAACGATGTCCGAGTTATAGCCCTTGATCATTTTGACAAACTTTATATTATACTCTCTAGAGGCCGACGTGATTATCCGATTGACTTTAAAGTTATACACAGTGTTCAGGGTATTGGAGGGCAGAGTCTCGTGATTTCCAACGAATTATTTTTTAAAATTTTGTGTGTAGACGCTGTCACCCAAAGTCATCACCCCGATTGGCTTGAAATTGATACACGGGGTTTGGTTTTCAACGATTTACGATGATTACTGCCAGGGTAATGATCCTTGATTACTTTGAGAACTCTTGTGAACACTCTAGAGACCAAAATTATCATCCTATATATTCGAAGGTTAAACATTGTCTAAGGTAATATACCATCGTCCGTGTACACGTTAGGGGCTACATTTATCAATGGGTCTTTTAAATATTTTTATTCGTCGTTCACTTGACCTTGATAAAGATGTCTATTGGATCTCAACAATTTCTGATTTCTGATAACAGAGGTGCCATCCTTGTTAACGTTTGAGAGGCCATAGGTATCCCTAGGGTCCTTTGACTTATGCGTCTATAGACTTTATATTTTCATGTGTTCAACACACCCCTCAAATTTAATTTTATCGGCTTGAAAGATTTCTCATTTCAAATTTAAGACCTACTTAAACATATCTATGCAAGAGCTAAATCTGCCAATTGCACGTCTTTCTTTAGCCCTGAAATGTTATCTAAATTATTAATTAAGTTATTCAGACCATAATCAACTCTCGATGACATCGCTAGCATACGATGTTTATTGGATTAGGTTCCGATTTGCTGTTCGACTTCCATTCATAATTTAACCATGAAATGGGTGATCGAGACTATGTTTTTATCGTACAGACTTTAGTAATGATGATCGAGGCTAGGCCGAAATTTCAATCGCTTAATTCTCGGTTCATAGTGGATCAATTTGACTGAAATTTTCAGCAAATTGCCTTTACATTATCTAATTTTTATACGCCCACATGGAAATGTGGTCGTATATTGCCGTCGCCCCCGCCCGTCTGTCGGTCCGTCCGTCCGTCCGTCGTCCACAATTTCTTGTGAACACTCTACAGACTGCATTTATCATCTGATTGTTTTGAAATTGATATATGTTGTTTGCATTAGTGAGATGAAGAAGCCTATCTAATTTCAATAACTTCCTTTAATTACATCTAGAGTTATGGCCTTTGTTTCACTTTGTTGAATCTTGTGAACGGTCTAATAACAACAGTTATCATCCGGTCTGTTTGAAATTTATATGCATGATTTAAATTAGTGAAACGAAGAAGTCTATTGAATTTCAGTAATTTCTGTTAATTACACCGTGAGTTATGGCCCTTGTTTCACTTTGTTGTACGTTGTGAATGCTCTAACGACAGAGGTTATTATCCGTTCTGTATGAAAATTTATGTATCGTTTAAATTAGTAAAACGAGCAAGCCTATTGAGTTTCAGCAAATTTCTGTTAATTACTACATCTAGAGTTATGGCCCTTGTTTCACTTTGTTGAATCTTGTGAACGCTCAAACGACAAACGTTATCACCCAATCTGTATGAAATTCATATGCATCATTTAAATTAGTGAAATGAAGAATCCTATTGAATGTCAGCAATAACCGTCAATTACTTCTAGAGTTATGACCCTTGTTTTACTTTGATGAACCTTGTGAACCTTCGAACGACAAAAGTTATCATCCGATCTGTATGAAATTTATATGCCTTATTTGAATTAGTACAACGAAAAAGCCTGTCGAATTTCAACAATTTCTGTAGATTACTTCCAGTGTTACGGCCCTTGTTTAAGGTTTAGAACCTAGTGAACACTCAGACGACGAAAATTTGGCATCTGTATGAAATTGTCTATTAAATGCCCCTAATTACCTACAAAAGAATAAATATGTGACAACCCTTGTCGACCACCGGACGATTTAGCTGCTGTGGGCGTATGTTTTGTTGCCTGGCAACCTATCTTTAACTATTATAGTGAAAACTAATTACTTCTAGAGTTATGGCCCTTGTTTTACTTTGTTGAACCTTGTGAACCTTCGAAGGACAAAAGTTATCATCCGATCTGTATGAAATTTATATGCCTTATTTGAATTAGTAAAACGAAAAAGCCTGTCGAATTTCAACAATTTCTGTAGATTACTTCCAGTGTTATAGCCCTTGTTTAAGGTATGAAATTGTCTATTAAATGCCCCTAATTACCTACAAAAGAATAAATATGCGACAACCCCTGTCGACCGCCCGGACGATTTAGCTGCTGTGGGCGTATGTTTTGTTACCTGGCAACCTTTCTTTAACTATTATAGTGAGAACTGCCAGCTCTTTATCTTATCTCCCATAATGTATCTTTAAACAAATGCTAATAGGGGACTTTGGTCTGTTCACTTTTCAGCTGTATGATGTAATGTGGAACTAAAGAGCTGCTGACTAAAATGGGTTTTAATCACCACTCAGAAGAAGCAGAAGACAAGAAAGATGAAGAAGATGAGAGAGAAGGGCAATCCGGACCTCCAGATGGAGGATGGGGTTGGGTAGTGATGCTGGGTTCTCTGATGTGTAACGTAATAGTTGATGGCGTATGTCTCACATTTGGAGTAGTAGCAGAGGAACTGACACGAGAGTTCAATGTTCCAATCTCTCAAGTGATCTGGGTCGGTTCTTTACTGACTGGGAGCTACCTGACCGTTGGTAAGTAAATAATACCAGTACGTGGTCGTCCATTATCAATGTGTATTGGCTGTGGTATCTGTGTTAGTTTTACTATTAAACCAACCTTATAATATAGACCCCACCACACTCACACCTTCCTCTCCCATCCACCTCTAAATCAATAATCATTTTAGGTTAATACACTTGTTTTCCTGCAAATGTTGTAGTTGGTGGCAATTTATGATATTGACTGAAAGGTTTGACATTTTCATGCTTTTTGATTTGTTTTCTAATTATGCAGGCCCATTGGTGAGTGCCATGGCAGTGAGGTATGGGTGTCGGAAGGTGACTATAATAGGCAGTCTTGTAGCTTCCGGAGCATTCTTACTTAGTACGCAGTCGAACAGTCTAGAGATGCTCATAATTACATACGGTTTACTTGGTGGTAAGTATATATTATAAATCTTCTAGTGGTATTTAGTAACTTAATAGAGTAATAAGGTAAAACACATACTTATGACATATTCTGTCAACTAATATAAAAATACAAATGTGGGGCAAATATATAGACAAATTAATAACAAATCCGATATACATGACAACAACAAAATCAGAGGATGTATCGATATAAGTAGAATCCTGTATTATAGTTTTATTTATGATTTCAGGTATTGGGTTTGGAATGATCTATTTGCCATCAATTGTGATGGTGGGATATTGGTTTGAGAAAAAACGTGCCTTTGCTACTGGAATAGCAGTTTGTGGCTCAGGAATCGGAACATTTGTGTTTGCCCCATTCGGTCGCTACTTATTAGATGAATACGGTTGGAGGGGTACGAACGCCATCATGGCAGGGATTATATTGAACTGTATGGTTTGTGGAGCTTTATTTAGACCACTGCAAAAGCGTGGTAGTAAAAGGGCTAAAAGAGGTGTTGTGCAGCGTGGTTCTATCATGAAGGCGTTGATTGAAGAGAAAAAACGACAGAGAACAATTTCAAACGGTTCACTAGATAACTGTATCATCACGAAGGACAATAGACTCATCAAACTCGACCCGGCACTTTTTGACGCGAAGAGCAGAAACAATTCGCTTGTGGCCAGATTAAAAGAATCTTTGGGATTCAGTACAAAGAGTTTGAACAAAAGTCAAAAGAGCCTAGTCATACCGAGTATTTTAATTGCAAACGGTTCACCACAGATGACTAAACCCATCTATAAACCTGGCATTAAATCACCCACTAAGCCTGCGTTATCCCCTAGTAGTGACAGTGGTTGCAGCACCTCGCTTGATGCTATAATTAAAGCCAGGAGTTGTGACATGATACCTCAGAATGACCCATGGTCAAAACTCTCGATAGAAAACTCGTTAAATAGAAAAAGTCTGAGTTATCACAACGTGAATCAACACTCCGTGATGACATCCGGTTTAGGGGCCAGTTTAATCAGTATTCAGGTGATTCCCAACTCTTCTGTAGCCGCAACTCAAAGTCGTACTAGTCTTCAACACCTTAACAATCGCTTAATCAGATCCAGTAGATCTATGTCATACAGTAGTCGCCTAACGAATCCAGCCACTATTGTCAGTGGTAGTGTAATGAGCATTCCCCAATACAGTGCAAGTGTACAAAGTTTTGACTCGGAGATGAACGATGGGAGGTCTATTTCTTCTAAGATTATTAGTGTGTTGAAGGAAATGTTTGACTTTCACTTGCTCAAAAGCCGAATGTTTTCCCTTTTAGTTTTTTCGAGCATTTTAACTATGTTAGGTAAGTTATTTTCTTTACATTTACTATATTAAACTATTTGTATTTATCTTAACTATGTAAGACTATTTGCTAATATATGTGAATATAAATTTATCCAATATTTATATTATAGTGGAGGCCTGTTATTCATTATTCCATAATACTACATGCTATTATCAATAATGGGTTGGTTTATCGTCATATTCTTTTCCATTTCAGGCTTTTTTGTACCATTTTTCTATCTCGTCAAAAAAGCCTCCGAAATTGGCGTTGGTCAGAAAGAAGGGGTGTTTTTATTATCCATTATTGGCATGACAAATACATTGGGTCGAGTGATAAGTGGTTGGATAGCTGACAGACCTTGGGCTGATCCTTTGTATATTAACAATGGAGCACTCATATTAACAGGAGTAGCAACAGCAGTTTGTCCTTTCTTTAACAGTTATATTGGACTGGCATTTTATTCCGCTGTATTTGGAATCGGTATAGGTCAGTATTATTATCCTTTTACATCACAACTAGAATGTTTCGGATATCGGCATTGGAAGAACGTTGGATATCTTTCAATTTAAGCTTTCTTCCAAGTTGAGAAGGAACTGTGTCTGGAACTAAATGCCGGTGTCTCCTGTACAAATCCATTGTAAACGGAAATTGTAAAATTCTCCTTCATAATATACACAACTAAAGAATGATTTTAGTAAACAAAGTAGTATAGTGTTGGGGAGACGCCATTTCTTTGTTCAAAGCACAATGCTAAGCTGAGATTTCATTATGTTTTCCTATGTTTATCATTCCAGCTGTTTTTGTGTCCTTGAGATCGATTCTTCTGGTGGACTTGTTGGGCCTAGAAATGTTGACCAAATCATTTGGTATTCTCATATTGTTTCAAGGTATTGCGTCAATTGCTGGTTCGCCTTTAACAGGTTTGTACCTTTATTTCTTTTGGCAATCAGTGGTTCAATTATTAGCGAAACCAGGAAATGCTAACTATAATAAATATACCGTCAAATAATTAAGTCGTCGATCGATTTTGGGTGATATGATCATTATCTATGCTTTTGTATAACTAATTGTTGTGCGTCCCTACCTACTATAACACCTTTAATATATTTCAGGTCGATTGATATGCGCAACATCCAATGTTGATGGAACCTTTTATCTTGCCGGTGCATTGATAGCCGTCTCGGGGGTCATGGGAATACCTCTGCGTCTACTAAAGTCGTGGGATGAGGCTAAACTGCCACCACCTCTCCCAGAAGAGATGCCAATCAACGAAACTTTGAAGATTGAACAAGTTGAAACGGCAATTTGAATTTAAAGACTAGCAACAATATTGGTGACTATATAAATGGCAAGTTTGTGTAAGCTTGGACGTAGATTAAGCTAGAACAAACAAGCACTAGTGAGGGTGATACTCCAATCATGATGACAGACATTCAATCTGGTTTGATCAAATACAACAAAATCAAACTTGTGTTAAAAGTTTGTAAGAGCATGCGTACATACAAGACTACGGAGAGAGGTAGAAAGAGCAGACACTGAAATCTAAATACACTGTTTTTACATTTTCATAATAATGGTGATATCTTTTAATATATTCAATTAATCTGACTCTATAAAACAAAATGAAGCAATTAGTGTGATATTTATGATAGCGACTACAGAAAATGATATATTTATAGTAATATTTTAGAGGGTCGTGTCTGTGTATTCTATTTATTATAAATAAGATATAAAAAAAAATATTGACGTTGTGGTACTCAATTAACCAAACACTATCAAAGTTACTTTCATTTTCATTGGTTAGGACTATTGAAGTACAACGGATCTCATTAATATGGGCCCTACTTACTCAGGACTGGAATGCCATAACTAGATTTTAAAAAAAAACTCCAGTGTTGCTACGAGTGCAGTGCGAGCTGTTTGATTTATGTGAATCGCAAAGTCAAAATATACGTTTCATTTGTGGATAATGGACGGTATATGATTAAAATGTGTGTGCGAGAGAGAAACGGAGCGACCGAGATTATTACAATTAATAAATTTATTTCTATTCTTTGTTAAATTTCATTTAAATTACATCGTGTATATTATATACCATATGTTTTCATATTGTAGTCGATGATAAGTGCTATGACGTTTTCTGTGATTTTTTTTCTTTGTAACTTGACAGAATCTTTTCTATATTATAAAGATGTCAGCACATTTTTGGGACTAATTATCGATGTAAGATTAAAAATTAATGTCCTTTTGTGTTCCTTGTTGTGTTGAAATATTCCTAGCAAAAGAAGAGCCGGTTCCTGGATCTTTCGCACATTTAAGAAATGGATTTATTCAAACTATACTTCTTAAACACGGCGCTGGATGACTGCTCAACAAAATACAGAATAAATTGCACGTGAGCATACTTGAGTAAAAAAAATCGAACATCTTTCAAAAATAACATTAACCTGAAGTTAAGTATTAGGACGAAGGTCGGTTAGTTCATATTCATAAATAAAATCGAATTCGGGCGGTAGTCGGTCATTATTAAAATGGGTCTGTCGCGTTTATTAGGTAGAATGTTCCAACTTGGTGTAGGTGTTTATTAGGTGAATGCCTTGATGCGGTTCGAAAATAAGCATTTTCTGCATAGGGTAAGCAGAGATTAGCAATTTAATTGGTTGATGCTTTGGGACACGATAACTTTGGTTATAAGTAAGTGAGAGTGAAGAAACTTGGTGTATAGTTTTATCACATCAATACCTTGACTGAGTTTGATAATCATTATTTTCGGCTCAGTGTAAAACTTTGGAGCTCGACAACTTTGAATCTAATTGAGTGATGGTGAAACTTTGTGTATGGTTTCATTGCTAAGCATTTTTTGCTTAGTTTCACTACTAGGTACTTCAAAACCTGACTGAGTTTGATCGTGAACATTTTATGCTTAGACTAAGCATAGATAATCATTTTGTTTACTCGATACTTTTGAAAAAGATAAATGTGCAATTAATTAATGTGTCGTCTCTTTTTTTGGGAATTTGGGTGGGGTTTTGTTGTCGATCATTTTGATCATTTTAAGAACCACAAACAGACTATCATGTCAAAATACTGTAAAGTTAATATGGTTGACTTGTGAACAAAAACATACACGTTCATAAATGACAACACATGACGCAAACACATCTAAGTCGTCATTTGATTATACGCCCACATTTTCATGTGGGCGTATATTGTCGTCGCACCTGTCCGTCCACATGTCGTTTGTAGACACTCTACAGGTCACAAGTTTTATCCGATTTTGACGAAACTTGAAATATAGGTTTATATCCCGAAGATCTTGGTTCCTGTCGACATTGGCATGTATCGGGCCGTAACTTCATGGATTATTGCCCCTGATTGTACGAAAAATCATGATTTTAGCTTGTGAACACTAGACGTAAACCATTTAAATTTTTATCCGATTTTGATGAAAATTGAAATCTGTGTTTATAACCCAAAGATCTATGTTCCTTTCGATATTCGCACATATCGGATTATGGCCCCTTATTGTACGCAAAGTCGGGGATTTAGCTTGTGGTCCCTCTAGGGGTCACAATTTGTATCAGATTTAAGCAAAAAACGAACGAATATATGACCATTACACCATACTTATAGTTGGGTTCGAATTTCGTGAAAATCGGACCAAAACTGACGGACAAAATGGCCGCTCTCTGCACGCAAATGGTGTTAATATCAACGTTGTGGACCCTTTAGGTCACAATTCTGATCCGATTTTGATGAAACTTAAATAAATGTGTGTTTATATTCCAACAATCTCGGTTCCTTTCGATATTGGTGCATATTGGACCAATCTTCCTGGATTATGGCCCTGATTGTACGAAAAAATCTCGATATTAGCTTATGGACCCTCTAGATGTCACAATTTTTATCCGATTTTAAAAAACCGTTTAAATATATCAATGTTGAGTTCGAATTGCGGGAAAATCGGAACGACAGTTCCCGACAAAATGCCCGCTACTTGTACTCAAATAGTGTAAAAGTACGTAATACGAAGGTTGTGGTCTTCTATAGGTCACAATTTTTGGCCGATTTTGATGAAATTTAAAATATATTTTTATATCCCAAAGATCACAGTTCCTGTCGATATTCGCGCATTTCAGACTATAACTTCCTGGATTGTGGCCCCCGATTATACAAAAAATGGCGGGTTTTTTGTTTTTAGCTTGTTATCTATCCATCTCTTCCAACATGTGGTCGTATCTTGCATTGCAACCGCTGTATACATGTTTATCAGTCAGTTTAGATTGTTAGTAATCAGGCAGTAGTTATTAAGTAAGTGTTACGTCTAACGTGTTAAAAACTGTGTCTATTGAACGAGTTACACCACTATTGGTTGGGTTTGTGTATTCAATAGTGATGGTTATTACGCTTTTACACTACACTACTCGCAGAAATGACAACTTTTACAGCGATATGCACATCTGCTAAGTAATGACCACTGTATAATTTCTCGCTACTTTCTGTACTAATCGTTAATTGTGTTTAAAGCAACGATCCCTTGTATGATGACAGAAAGGTCTATGTTCATAAGTCAATGGTATCGGTATCCTCCCAAAACTTACACACCCATATCTTAAACACCTTAAAATAATATTTATGTTTGGATGCACAGCATATTGAGATGCTGTTATCTTTGCTAAATAATAGAACAGCCTAACAGAAAGCCTGGCATATGTAGCTTGTTGATATGGCAGAAGAGCAAAGACCAGGGAAGTATCGTCATATTCATCTGTGAAGAGGAGTGAAGGTCGGCTATCTGATGTCTGTGTCCAACTTCCTTCCAAAGAACGAGACTGGGTAGTGTGCTGAAGAACTTGAATTAGGCATCTTCTGGGGGATTGACATGTCCGCTGACATTCCGACAATATTCGCTAACAGTAGTGCACTTGTCAGAGCATACAGTGACTACGCATCTCCAGCTTGTGCAATGTTGCTAAACTTTGTTACGGTTGTAGAGGTACCCATTAAGTAAGACTTGTGGTGTACCATTCTTCGATGCGACAAACCCACTTTCCTTAATCCAGTCATACTGACATAATGCATCTACCCTGATACACCATTTTATATACCCAACACAAAACAGGCTGTTTTTATTTGAGTAAAAGATAAAAGAATTAAAGAAAATAATTTAAAAACATATCATTGTTTTAACTACTTTGAGTAAAAGATAAAAAACAACTTAAAGGGAATAATTTCAAAACACCATTGTTTTAATTACTTTATAAGATACAAAATTAAACCTATTCATTCATCATGTAGAGATTTCCAATGAGCACAGACATAACTTCAAATTACGACTGTTCCATTATAGCTATATAGCTATGGGGAGTGTGTTAAATTAATCCTCTACTTCACTGTCTGAGATATGGCTGCTTAAGGTTTGGGAGATAACCAAGCATCTCATTGACGAATATTGAAGGGATTGACCATTTCGATTTTTTTCTAGACCTGGGCAAATTAATCAAGGAATCTGTAGACAGTGATGCATTCATCTGTTTCGGTTCCATCAATGTATCACGTGTAAAAAATTCAGATTAATGTGCCAACGTTTCAATAGAAAGTGGTGTCTGGTGTTCTAGATACGTTTGCCATGTGCACGAAACTCTTCACTACATAAACAGAGTTGGATGCATCATTGAGTAAAGGAATGTTGACATATTGTTACAAACATGAATGACGCCCATTCACATGCGAGGATAGAAAATGGACAAAGGATGTGTAGACTTGTAACTCTCCTCTAACAGACCCTGACTTGTGCAGTAATGTCAATTTGCTGACTATAGATAGGGAATGTGACTTACTTTTTTTAGGTACGATATTTAGTTTTAAAAAAGGGCCACTATCACTGTAAATACCGTTAAATCACCATCTTGGGTTTTTTTTAACATTTTATAAGCAACATATCCTTACATGAATGTTCAGGGAGTATTTTTCATCTAATTTGACAATAAGCACGATTTAAAAGTCATATTGTCCTTATAAATGCTAAATCTACATATACTCAATTCTAAAACAATTTGATATAATTGAATTCGAACTGTTGACCAAGACACTCGCAACGAAAAGAAGCATCACAGAAGAAAATGAAAATACAAGAGAATGTAGCATGTATGATATTAATAATGTTAACAATAATATTACAATTTGTATTTCCTACCACACACTTTCCAATCATCAAGACCGGTCACATACATGTAGGGAGTAGTCGCTAATAATTTATTGGTTGTTTTTGTGATAAAATTAGACTCTAAATATATATGAACTGAAATTACCAGGATTTCGGACCTATGATCTTCGGAAGGTATTTTGTAGTAATAAACACTAAAGCAACATAAAACCAGGTCTGTTTTATTGGACGATGATGCAATGCAAGGTTATCGACCGCTACAATTTCATATTGTGTGTGTACAGGTGGTGTGTTGTTGTGTGCATGCTGGGATCACACCTTTCTTCACGTTGTTAGGTGGACATACTCACGGAGGATTACAGTGCTAATAAGGTGAATGCTTTGTAAATAGTGTATAACACCTGGAGTTAATATCAGTCAAATATAGAGTATACATCGTATATGCAGCAGTGGTCTGTCAGGCAATTTGACTTCGTGGGCCAGGACCCTGTGCCTTTTGTGTCTCCCTTTTAAAAAAAAGTTCTAGAGGATATCGGCCAAATACATTTCAAATACGCAAATGAAAAGAATATAGAGATGTGCAACATCTTAAACTTAATGGTAGATTATTCCGATTATTCCATAAAACAGGGGCTTGAAAAGTAAGTAATACCAGCGGTTGCCGTGCATGATACGCCCACGTTTTGCAAGAGATGGATAGAGAACAAGCTAATAAAACGGCGGATTTTCGTACAATTAGGGTCCATAATCCAGGCAGTCTGAAATTCGCGAACTCAGATCTTCGGGTTATTAACATACATTTCAAGTTCCTTAAAATCGGATAAAAAATAAGGACTTCTAGAGGGTCAACAACCTTGGTAGTACATACTTTTACACTATTTTTGTAGTCACGAAATTCGACCTCAACCGACATTACGGTGTAACGGTGATATATTCGAACGGTTTTTAAATAGGATAATAACTGTGACCTCTTGATGGACAAGTGCAATCAGGGGCCTTAAGTCAGGAAGTTATGATCCGATATAGGCCTACGCGAATATCGAAAGGAACCAAGATCTTTGAGTTATAAACATACACATCAAGT